CACATGCGGTGCGCTTGTCTGTGCACCGTCCTCACGTCCTGGGAGCGTTTCTCTGGGCCGGAGTGAGGAGGGGACGTGCTGGCTGAAGGCACTCGGCACACTCAGCTTCACAGGACCCCCCCCCCCACCCCCCCCCGCGGTCAGCCTTCCAGTGACACCCGTCCATCACACTGTCCAGCCTTCTTGTAGCAAAGGCAGGGCCTTGAGGGGCGGGACCAAGGATAAGCCAGTGTTGACTGGTGGGCAGCACCGGGGAGAGCAAGGTGTGGAGCCAGGGCGGGCTCAGGCCACCGCAGCCGGGTGGGGCCGGGCAGGGTGGGGCGGGGTGGACGGACTGGGTTCTCAATGTGGGGCTGGGAGAGGGCGGGAGTGGGAGTTGGGGAGCGGGGAGAAGGGAGTGGGGCCTGGGAGGTTTGGGGTGCCCCGCCTCACTTCGGCTTTAGTCCTGCGGCTCGGTAACAGTGACAAGCAGGTGGGAAGCAATCAGAGGGCTGGCCTGGATGCTGACCCCGAGTGAGAGCCTCACCTGGAGTGGGCACCACCCTCCTCTGGCTTCAGTCTCCTCCCTCCACGCCCAGCGTGGGCCCGGGGGTCTCTGAGGTCCCTGCCACCTCCGTGCGCTCAGCTGTTCTTGGCAGGTGGCTGTGGCTTCCTGCCCTGGCCCTGCAGTGGGAGCACTGGCTTGGCGGGCGGCAGCTTGAAGCTGGTACATGGCAGCCGGGTGCTCGCCAGGGGGCTGGGTGCCTGGTGTGTAGAGTGAGGGGCTGGCCAAGGGGGACCCAGGAGGGCTGGAGGCGATGGGGAACCCAGGCTCCTCCCTGCCCGCCTCCTGTGATCCTGTGCTGGAGCCGGGACACTGGAGGGTTCCAGCCCTGCCCGGAGACAGGGAGTGGGCTTGCTCCTTGTTGCACGGGTTTGATGGGATCATATTTACTATCAAGTGGACTCACGGGTTCTTATTTTGTCCAATGAGAGACCAGGAGGAGGAGAAGGGTGTGAAGAAGGGCCCCTTCTTGGTGCAGAGGTTGGAAGAGGGTGCTGAGGGGAGTGTGAGCCAGGGTCTCCATGGTGACGGAGCCACGCTGCAGGGGCTGACACAGGAGGGCTGGCGGGCTTGGTGTGTGACTCAGGGTGTTTCCAGAGCTGGGGAGGCGCTGCCGGAGATGGGGGTTAGCAGACTCAGGGACCCAGGCCTTCCCTTCCGCTGTGTGAGCTCTGTCAGGCGACTTAGTTCCTCCGAGCCTCAGTTTCCTCATCTGTAGGATGGGCTGTTAGCACCAGCCCCCGGTGTGTGAGGATCGTGGAGGGCCAGCATGCCCTGGGTGCCCTCCGGGCCCCTCCAGTCCTCGCTAGCTAGGGAAGGGGGCCAGGAGGGCAGTTGAGGCAGATGCTGGGCCACCCACTCCTGGGGGCTTGTGTCCCCCCAGGGAAGAGCCTGCTGAGCCAGCCCCGTGTGCCTGCTCTGGGGTCCCCTGAGCAGCCGTGCTGACAATTGGGCAGCAACACAAAGGGGCCCCGTTGGCACTGGGTCTCACCCCGGGGCAGGGACAGCAGTGGGCGCTAACCCCAGGCCAGGTGCTGTCCCCAGACACGCCCAGGTTCATGGCCCCCAGGTGCCCCCCTGACTCCACACCCCAACCCCTTCCCCATGTGGCCTTGGTCATGACACAGTGGACGGGCTGAAGGGGTGACTGAGGGAGACAGGCGGCCTGTCGCCAACCCCTGCTCTGCTGTGACTGTGTGCGACCTTGGGGAAGCCACTGAGCCTCTGTGCCTCAGTTTCCTCATCTGTATATTGGAGCTGTGCTGACGATGCCGCCCTCAGATGAGTAATGTAACATCTGCAGAGAGATAGTCAATGTGGGTCAGACGCTCCATAGTTCACTGAGCTCTGCATAACCCCCACCCCCTCCAGCCCCCCTGCCCCCTCCGCCCCTCCCGCCTTGTGGCTCAGGCCATGCTCTCATCTCAAGTGCCTGTGACTCACAATCTTGCTGACAGAGCTGTAGTCACCTAGTTCTTCCTTCACCGGCAAAACGAAGCCTGCAAGACACGCCTGGGCGGCAGGCGGGGCTTCCAGGCCTCTCGCAGGCGCTGCCCAGAGAGATTCCTTAAGCTAAGAGTTTCTCCCTGTTGGAGAACAATTGACTCCATCCCGCCGCCCTCCTCGGGCCCCTGGGCCCCTCCCTCCCGCAGCCAGGTGGCTCCCTCACCCCATCCAGCCTCCTCCTCTTGTCCATCTGTCTCCCCAGCTGGGGCAGACATGTTGCAATTGGCCCACTTTCTAACTGGAAAGCAACCATATGGAGGGTTTAGCTGGAGCCGAGTGTCTGCCTGGCTGCCATTAGCGCCGGGCAGCGCTGCGGGCAGCGGACTGGGGCCCTTCGGCTCTCCCTGTGCCCCAGGACTGAGGGGCCCGGTCCTGCCAACGACCCTCTTTCCTTCTCTCCTCTCCTTCCCCGTGAGGTCCTGACCATGGGATGGGAGTTCTGTGGGTGTCTCAGGAGAGAAGGGATGCGCTCTGCCTGCC